GCCCCCTCCCACCCCCTCGCAGGTGCAAATGAGACCAGCCGCTTCCCTCAACCAACCTTCCCTTGCGAAAACCAACGCTCCCCTTCTTCCTGTAATGGAGCCCCGGGCTGAGGCTGTGCGCAGGGTACTCCCAAGACCAGGGTAAAAAAAAAGAGGGGTGCGTTACAAATGGAACTTCAAAGACAAGGAAGATATAAAGCGTGTATATGGTAAAATAACATTTAGGGCAGTCAATTGTTCTTCGAAGTGTTTCATTATTCATTAGTGTCCATGTTTTTAATACAATTTGTTTCTGTAGGTAGAATCACAATAGTGATTTAGGGCACCGAGGGCCGATATCAACACTAACACTTGGGAGTGTTCTAATTAATTTTTTAGTTCTTATGATGCAATATAGAGATGCTATTTTCACCGCATCGGGATATGTACGGGACTCGCTAAGATTTAAATACAAAACGTTGAGAACATAATTCGTGCCCGAGGCGTCGTTTAGATTAAAAATAAACGTGGCACTGATCGTTTCGCTCCTATGTGATGACTTCACAGCGAGAGAATAAGTTTTACATCAAAAAGTTTATTTGTAAATGTTTCTTTATTGTTGCACTCACCCTACTCGGATTTGATGTCGATGTGAGGTTACCATCACCACTTTGGTACAGATATCTTTAGATAGTCATGTCATTAAAAAGCTAACAGTTCAGGTGAACACGGACCTACATAGAGTGCTGTTCAAACCTGTTTCGTTTTCCGCTTCTTTCCAGGTCTTTCAAAAAATTATGTTCTTTGTACATGAGCCGGACCATACCCTTCGATGTTACTGTACAACCAGCCACTGTACGTTAGCCAGAACCCAATCCTCTCTAGTCCGTACTGTGTGTGGTAACTTCACATGTGAGTACAACTTGGATTTTTTTCTCGCATTTATTTCACTGATTCAAGCTATGACAAGATTGTTTCCGTTTTTACTTTCTCGCCTAACTTTGTAAGAAAAGAAAGTGTGGAATTCGTGCATCTAAAAACGTCGACTTTTCGTTAGAAAAACTCTCATTGCCGAGCCCTGGTAACAAAAAAGTGGATAAATATTGTTTCTATATTTAGTAAATTACTTCATATACCTTGTTGTGTATTCAGAATCCATGTTTTGTGAGTTCTAGATACCGAAAATTCGATTGATGGCAAAACATCGGTATGTCCGTGTGTGGTTAACGTCAAGTGGTCAAGACCGTTAAGATTTTCTTCAAAATTGATATTCTTCGATCGATTTAGAGTAAATCGAGAACCTCTTGAATTTGAAACCAATATTTTGATTTTTGGGGCGACTTTACATCACGCCTCATTATTTTCAAAATTTTCTCAAGAATGACTTCAATTTTTAAAAGAATGATCTTCTTCCTCGAATAGCGTAAAGAATGCGGAATGGTGTAGGTTTCACTTACGTTGAAACCCCTCATTTTTTGAAAATTGCAAAAGTTCAAAATTTATTGACTTTTTTTTCGAAAACTTACCGCAGACTAAAGATGTTATAAAATTAATTAGTACGGAGAGATTGTGCCATTGTGTTGCAGTTACTTTCTGGTATGCCATGCACGAAAACATTGTGTCATCGAAAATACTGCTCAATATCTTTTAATTTTAAGTAAAGTTCATCTTTTTCTTTCCTTATGATTTTGTTTTCATTTTTTAGCGTTTTTAATTCATCTTTCATTATTTAGATTTGAACATATGGCATCAATGTTTGAAGATATGAAGACAACATATTGCTTCATTCTTTCAATTTGCTCTTGAATCTTAGATTTGAAATTATTGAACTTTCACTTATTACGTCGTCATCAGTAGCATTTAGTAGTTCGTTGTTAGCTTCCGTCTTCCGACTTCTGTGAATGTTTTGTTAGAGTAAATTGCTATTCTTGATGAAAGCATTATATTGTATTGATGCAAGGTGTTACTTTTTTAAAGATGGAATCCGAATTACAAATATCCACAGAATATGTTCGTGTAGCTTGTGGGAAGGACGAATGACCTTGTGAATGCTGAACATGTTTGGGAGCATGTAGCTTGTGTATCTTTGGTTCATGAATCCATGAATAGCTCAGGGACAACTTCAAGGAATCTTGCATTATAATGATGAAAATTCGTTCCTTACATTCTAAAATTTGTTTCAATTTAAGTGTTCTAAAAAGTTTTCTTCAACGAAATAGTTAAATCACGCCACATACAAATACATACACATATCAAAAATGTACTTAATGTGAGCCATTCTTTATTATGTAAAAATTTGCACGTTTTTTACTTAATTACAACTGATATTCACCAGTACTAAGAAACACATAAACAAATTCCTAATTCAAAAAAATATTTACTAGCACCAGTTATTGAATTAAATAAAATAAAAAACAATTGATTCAGCAATGTTTAAAAAAATCAACAACTTAGATATTGCCTAGAATCTCGAAGAATGTTAACTTAAATGATTTTACGAAATGCATAATTCAGCTCAAATGTAACTGCATTCTTTTTTACACAGTGTTTTTTGAAGATACTTACATTTTTTGAAATTGAGTTATCAGTTGAACTTTGAAAATGGAATAGCTTGTTTGCAATATTATTATTATTATTATTGTTATTATTATTATTATTAATATTTTTAAGTGATATTAGGTACCTATTATTTATTAAAAACATTCACGAAATAAAATGTTGTAATTTTGTCTTACACTTTGCCACATATGGCGTCATAGTTTCAAGCGAGAACTTAGTAATCCTTAATCTTTCCATGTAGTTAAACCTGTCGCCGTTCTTGTTATGAGGAAATGTGAATTTCAATATTCCAAGTATTTCATGGAGGACATCATTTCTTATATTCTGGACTATTACAAGTTGAAGCAACATGAACTCTTGCAATTGAAACTACCACATTAAAAAGTATACAGAATGAGTAATTTTACATTAAAAAACCTGTTTTCTTCTCAATTAGATAAACTACTATTTCTAAAGTAATTTGGCTTAGAAATGCTTCGTTTCTGCACACGCGCCTCTTGATGATTTACCTTCTTCTTCAACGTCTAGAAGGCTTTGCTAAAGGTGAGTAGCAGATCTGAGAATAGTTCTATGGCCCAAGAATAAATCTTCATTTTCGCAAACAGACGAAGAAAAACGCAAATATGGGATACGCGTAATATGGGACACCGTAATACGACAGGAGTGTTTTGCGCGCGGCCCTGCGATGCGGCGCGCCGCGGCATAGCGTTTAGCAAGTTCTCATTGCACTGGTTTTGCAAAAAATATGTATCGAATATTAACAATATTTATATCATTGTATTTCATTTATGAAGTACTTGAGAATAATGGAGAAAAAATATATACTTCCATTTGAAAAACAAAGTTGTGTAAATATCTCTAACATTACATACGGTACAATCAAGTAAGCGAAATATGTCATTTGCCCCATCATTTGCATCAACAGGGGACAAATAGCATCTCGATACCTCAAACCGTTTTCATGATATTTGCTGTGGCCAACTTAGGTGGTACAATTTTCAAAGTTCATTTAATAAGGACGTAGACTCGTTTTGGGAACCTATTTTCAGGCATTAGCATCATTGTAGTAAAGTAAAGCGTTGCTTTCATCAGGATTTGTCTGTTCAAAAGAGCCTGCCTCCATTCTAAACATGTATCCAAGAATGCATTTTGGTAATCCTTAGTGTAGTTGAAATATGCCTTCTAGTCTGCAGTTTTTCTGCTACATTTAGGTGCCGCAGTCCCCAAATGGATGAATTGTATAGGAAGACAGAGTTCACTAAGGCATCGAACAGTTCCAGTCCACATTACCAATCCGCAAATTTAACAGGAATTAGTAGCTTCCAAAGGGATCCAATGACAATCCTTGCCTTGAAAAGGAACTCCACTCTGTGTAAAATAATTCTGAGCTGATGAATGAATCTGTCCCATCCGGAAAGTTGGTACATAGTTAACTGAGATCGGCCTTTGCCAGAGGAAGTGAAAATCACAATCATAAGGCGACCATGGGGTGCGCCCGCAAAAAACTTCTTTAGGCCCGTGATAGGGGTCATATTCAAAGGAATTCTGGATCAAACGAATGGGTGAGAATCGACGGACAAGGCCCATCTCCTCGCAAATAACACCATACGATAAATAAAGACTACTTCTCACACTGCTGCTATGCAAAAGCGAGGCTCTAAGGAAGCGTGTTGGGGCCGCCCTTTATTTGCAATTTACAATGTATATTGTTAAAATGTATATAAATATGTTGCACCATAGTTTTCGTATCTAAAGAACATGTATCCTGTACTACGTATACTATGTTACGTTAATGCAGTTTTCGTAAAGACTTTTTTGTTAAGATATTTATTTTATTATAGTGCTATACCAGAGTATTGTATTTGTTTTCTACAGCAGTGTGCGTGTTATATTTCGGAAAACCACTTTCTGTGGTTTTTCAAAAACATTTGTGTCAACTCCTAAGAATTGCAGAAGGATAAAACTCATACCTCCCAAAATAAGAACCACACTTTTAAAGTGATCAATATTAAAAATTACGACAGTGTATGTCACGCAGTCTGCTGCACAAAATGTCAAAACTAGGTATCCCTAATTTCTTACAGAAAATAGTAGAAAGTTTCATTTATGAATTAATGATGCAGCAACACACCACATGCGATTATAGCAGTGATATCAGAGAGGTCCCCCACAGTACGTTCCCCCATTTCTTTAACATATTCACATATGACATTCCCATCCAAGGTGATTCAATGTTGCCTTTATGCAGACGCCTCTCACTATTATCACCAATCATGGTATTCAAACAGCACAAGTGTATCTTAAAAACAACCTAAACTTTATCTAAAATTGTCTGAATCCCAAAATTCCACCTCAATTGAAAGTAGAAAATTCATTTCTCCTCTGACTATCCTGACCTATAAAATTCTTGAGAGTTCTATTAGACAAACGCTGAACCTTGAAAC